AAGACTAGAGAAAGAGTTAACATAAAGTTAGAGATTTGGAGAGAAGCACTTGAATCTAAAGGATTTCAGATAAACAGAACTAAGACAAAATACATAGAGTGTAAATTTAGTAACAATAATAATGAAAGTAGAGGAGAAGTGAAGATTGAGAACTAAGAACTACCTAAGAGTGAACATTTTCGTTATTTAGGGTCGATTATCACAATGTCGGGGGAGATTGATGCGGATGTGGTCCATAGAATTAAGGTAGGGTAGCTTAAGTAGAGAAGTGCGTCTAGGGTACTATGCAATAAACGAGCATTCACTAGACTAAAAGGAAAGTTCTATAAAATGGTTATTAGACCATCGATGTTATATGGAATGGAGCGTTGGGCAACCAAGAAATAACATATAGATAAGATGAGTGTTGCTGAGATGAGGATGCTAAGATGGATGTGTGACAAGACTAGAAAAGACAGAATTCGGAATGAGTATATTCAGGAATGGGTAAAAGGAGCACCGATAGAAGATAAGTTGAGAGATAATGAATGAGTATATTCAGGAATGGGTAAAAGGAGCACCGATAGAAGATAAGTTGAGAGATAATAGATTGAGATAGTTTGATCATATTCAATGGAGACCAACAGAGGCAGTAGTAAAGAAATGCGATACAATGACAGTAGATGGAAGTGTTAGGGGACGGGATAGACCTAGATGGACGTTGGCTAGCGTAGTAAATAAAGATATGAATCCACTTAATTTGACTAATTAAATGACCTTTGATTTAGGCGCGTAGAGAAGAATGATTTATGCAGCCTACCCCATTTGATGGGACTCAAGGCTTGGTTTGGTTTGGTTTTGGCTATGTTGTACCATTGTTGCTTGTATAAGTTGTTGCAGTTGGGCTATTGTGTGATTGTATTGATTTAAATTTTGGGAACGAAATTTCTTAAGGGGGAAGATCATGACTGTTCCGTTTTAGACCCGACCTTTTCCATGTTTTTAGATTCAGAATTTTGTATCTTTAATTGTTGTTTATACCATTTTCATCTTGTTATAGTTTAGTTTGTTTGTTTGGAGATGTTGGTTGTGTTTGGAACAGGTTGGGTGTTAATTTTTCAAAAGAGTTGTTATCTATTTCCTTCTTTGTTCGCTCAAACGGTGCTTTGGTCTCTCGAGCAGTCTTTGAGATCTCCCAATATTTTACAGGTCTATAAAACTTCTAGGAGTAGGGTGATCTTCGCTCGAGCGATCCTTTCTTCGCTCGTGCGATCTTCTGCAATTTGCAAAACTTCAGAGAGGGGATCATTGTGTGCTCGAGAGCGGTGTCAATTATTTGTGTTTGATACTCGAGCGGTGGTTTGGTCGCTCGAGTGGTCTGCGCATATATCAGATCGGGGAAAAGCAATTTTTAGTCACTTTTTCATTCCTCTATCTCTCTAAAACATTTCTAAACCTAATTTCTTCACTCTCTCTCTCTCTCTCTAGTTCTTGCATAAACACCTCAAATACACCTAAATCCGTTGATTTCGCAGTTGTGCTTTAGAGAAAAAGGTAGAGCTCGTTAAGTAGAACATTTTAATCGGTGAAAACTTTCATTTTGACTTCATCTCAAGTTAGGGCCTGCTCTCTTCTTCTTCTAAACTTGAGGTAGAGATTTCTTCAACCTTTTAGTATGATTCTAAACTTAGTTATGTGCTCCTCATTAAGTATTGGCATTTAGGAGATGGGGGTTTTGATTTAGGGTTTGATTTTTGAAATGCAAAAGAGGAATTTTCAAATGTGTTCTTGAGAAATGTTGTGGGACTGTGAATATTGTTGAGTTGTATTGAAATGTTAGAAATTCCTTCCTTAAATGTGCTTTTGAAAGTAAAAGATGTTTTATTGGAAAATCATTAATGTTTGATTTATAAAAGAAAAGGAAAAAATGTTGGGTTTGAAAAGATAAGATAAATGTATCTATTGATGATGAGAGTGGAGTTGGATATATATTATCACTTCCATTTTAAAATTTATGAGATTATACCTGTTGTTAAAAATTTATCTGTTGAGTAGAGATATCTGTTTTGGGTCATCGGTGGAGGATAACTTTAATTGTTGTAGAAATTGCATGAGGATTATTAAATTAATTGAAACAAATTGCTCATACATCTTGCATTGAGCATTGTTTCATACTTAAACATCGAAAATATATTGTTTGAGAAAAAGGAGAGTATACCTTGGTGAATCTAGTTAGAGGGTATGGTTGTGGTTTATATTGTTGGCTTGTGTCTCTTTGCTAAAAGTCCAAAAACCTGCGCAGTTAGGTGCCAATCCTTCAAGTTAGCACAGATAAAATGACTTTGGTAGTGCTTGTATAGTCTACTGGCAAACATATACTTAGAGATTCTAGTGTTTCGTATTCACTGCCCTATTTTCTGATTTAAAAAGTATTATTTTTTGAATTGATATACATATAACTGAGACATTGCATTGTTTTCAAAGAGAAAGTATAAAATTTGGCAAATGACATGCACATACATTCACCATATGACTTTGTTAATCTTCATACATTGTGTTTAAGCACTTCTACTAGGCTTTAGCTCACCCTATGTGAAAAACAAATTTTAGGTGCTCATTATTTTTTTTTTGATCGGCAAAGAAAATTTTCATTTAACAGCATGAAATTAAGAGCACAGGAAGATGACATGCATCGAGAGAGATTCGGAAGTACAAAATACCCCTACTACTGCTACTCGCATCCATACAACCAACCCCTAAGCCTCTCGATTTTTTTTTCTAAAAATACATACAAAAACAAATTTTAGGTGCTCATGATATACATCTACCAAGGACGTAACTTAGAAGGACTTGGAGCCGAGAGTTTTTTTTGTTTCTTTTGTGAAATTATTTTTGTACAAACCTTAGACTTTCTATGTATTGAGTTTAATTCACTTTTGTTATACCCAAGAATTGACTTAGAAAGATGTAGCCATTAAGGTATAAACTTATTTGTTCTAATTCATTTATACATGTCATATGCTATAAATTTAAAATTTAAAATTTATAAATATATATATATATATATATATCATCTTTTATACAATAAAAGAATATTAATGGAAGGTTAATTATATATAATTTGCTCCTTATCCATTAAAAATCATGAGGTGATTTGTTATTATTATTGAGGTGATTTGTTATTATTATTTTGGCCCGTAACATCTCACATGCTCAATATTCATGTCAGGTAGGCTGCCAAAGCCTTAAAACAATGATTTGGTGGAATTTGAGAAAACCCATGACATGAGTCTAGAGTTTTATTTAATATTTTTGTATAAAAATAAAATAAAAAAGGGCAAAAAAGAAATCCTCTATTTTTTAGTAGTTTACATGAGTAAACCATCCATCCATGTCTATCTTGTTCCTCTAGTTAGGAGTAGCAAGTAAATACTATGTTATAACAGAAATGTAAAGAATTCAACCACATTGTAACTTCAAAAATCATGAATTGAACCTAATATATATGCATATTTACATCTATATATTTGTTGTAAAAAGTAACAAGTTAAGAACATGTGTCAGAGCTTGCATAGCAGCACTAATTTGTACATGGCCAGGAGCAAATCCTATATTCACAAGTTAAAAAAAAAAACCATAGTGAGAATAGAACATTGGTGGCAACAAAAGAGATAGAAACACCTCCTTTGATAATTCACTAGTGTAACTTCTTTGCCAAAGAAAAACAAAGGTCAATCTAGAGGATCCATTCTACACCTCCCACTCTCCACTCTGCTTGTTGTAGAAAAAGAAGCCCTGTAAATGCAACACTGTCATACCAAACACAATGAGATATGTAAACATCTATACTATATTGTAAAAGAAGCAGCCCAAAAGTAAAGTTGAGCAATGTTTTTTTTTCTTTTCCAAGATTGTCCATAAAGTGATTTTTATATAGCATTTAAATGAATTCTTCCATATTTTTTAAAGGGTAATGGTGTGAAATTGCTCACAATTTTCAAATTCAAAGGTGATTTCTAAAAATTTCATCTCTTTTTTGAGAGTAACACACACATTATTACTTGCATAGCTATTTGCGTGTGTCAAGAGGCTAGTGATTTGTAATTTAAGAGTAAATTAAAATTTTCAGCCCTTTAATTTGACTGAAATTTTACTTTTGATTTTTAGTATTTTAATTTAAAATTTGATCCTTATACTTAAAACTCTAGTTTTAATTTTGTTACTCCATCTAAATTCCTGTTAATTTTGTGCATGTATACGTCTCAAGAGGCTAACAAATATCAAAAAATCGTTAATTTTAATGTCACGCCCTCAAAATAAACCCATAATAACCATAACATTAACATTGTCTGAATCAATCTTCTTAAAACCCTTTATACCAAAAATTTTTTTTTTAAAAAAATACACATAATTAGCAAATAGCAGGAAATTCCACAAACAATAAATTGCACGTATAAGTGAATTGGTACTTTAGTCCGGTAATTTTGTAATTTCAATTTCAATTTGCACTGTCAATTTTAATATTTTATTAAAGTATGATCCTCCGTCACTTACCGTTATAATTCCCTCCGTCACTTTTACCATTAAAATAGAAAAAGACCATGCGATAAAATTAGAACACCAAACTGAAATTTAAAATAAACTATATAGTTTTGAACAATTTTTTTTTTTTTTTTCAAAATGTTACCAATACTGGGACTACGCTGCAAAAGTGTAAGGAAAACAAATTTCTTTGAGGAACCCTGGTGTAATTTACCCTTCAATAAATACACAAATTCAATAAATAAAATTTGAAAAAAAACAAAAAAAAAAAAAAGGTTCAATTAGCCATGAACCAAACAGAGACTTTCCCCCTTTAGAAATAGCTATAGCAACAAAACCCACAAAGAATAAACCTCAAATTTAGAAGATAAACACTCAAATTTCTTAAGTAGATCATAAATTTAATAGCAGAGAAGAGAAGTAGTTTTTTTTTTTTTTGAACGAGAAGAGATTGGATTGGAAGAATATAGAGTACTTACATAAGTGTAAAGTTGGCGAATAAAGCTTGAGAAATTGTTGTGCTTGAAGTATTTGGGCAAGAGATTGGTAGAGAACTGGCGATGATCCCAGACTACAAAGCTTTTTTGAGAGGCAGTCCATGAAATGATGATGTCAGTATCAGGGTCTTCCACCATGTGAAAGGTCTTCTTCAGAAATGGAGATGGTCCTGTTTCATGCAATCCCACCATGGGTTTTGGGGCTGATGAGATTGGTGGTGAACATGGCATGGAATCACCACCACCACCTCCTCCTCCTCCTACTAGTACTACTCCTTCACCACTTACCCAATCATCATCAACCAATACCACTGCTTCTTCATTGAGTTCCACAACTTTCACTGTCTCCTCCTCCTCCTCCTCCTCCTCCTCCTCAAATAAACCTCCACCACCACCACCAGGTATGTCATCATCAATCACTACAATGTTCTCCTGCTTGATTTTTAGTGTTTCCATGAGAGACACAGAGAGTTTTGGATTAGTTTCCAAATGAGTTGATTGTTTCTAATGCAGTGACTCTCAGAAAGGAGAGAGAGAGAGAGAGAGTTGTCTGAACTGAGAATGGCCAACTGTCGAAATATGTGTTGCCATTTGTAGCTCCAACTTACATACAAATCCAGGCCCCTTTACTTCTGGAAACGTTGCCGATGTATAGTTTTAGAAATTTAATTGTTTTAGGTAATATAATTATTACACTTGATTCGTGGCTAATTGAACCCACGAATCAAAAGGGTTCAATATAATCATGGCAAAAAAACTATTAATGAATAAAAAAAAATAAAAAAAAAAGAGGTTCAATTAAAAACTATTAATTGACTTTTTTTTATTCATTGAATCAAAAACAAAAAAGGGTTCAATTAGCCATGAATCAAAAGGATTCAATTAGCCGATGTTTAAAATATTAACTTTCTAAAACTACCTTTTAACTTTTTTTAGGAAAATCAATTATCATAATTATACTTTTTATGTATAAATGTAAAAGAATGACAAAATAAGAGATTCCTATTATTTTACTCCTTAATTTTTAAAAGAGACTAATATTTGAGACAATAAAAAATTAAATAAGAAATTAATATTTTGAAACAGAATAAGTAATAAATTGTAACTACCACCATAGTTCTAAATCGCGGTATCGGGTAACGTAACGGTATCGATCGCGGAGTATCGGTATCGGTAGTATCGGCCGGTACATATCAGGAATCGGGTGTCGCGGCCGTGAAATTTTAAAAATCATTAACAATCCTTCTAAAACTCAATTTTGTACTTTTTTTTACTCTTTTAACCTTAATTTGTCACATTTTAATCAAAATTTTGATATATAAGGGCACTTTTAACTCATTTTTAACTAAATGATATATATTTATTTTAGTCTCAATTATAACTTACAATTATCTACGATTTAAAATAAATCCACAACAGTATACCAACTAGACAATATACCAAAGTTGCAAATTTGGCCCAAAACTCAATTTTATCATTTTTGCAAATTTGGCCCACAACAATATACCAACTAGACAGTATACCCAGTACACCAACCCAGTGGTATTACCAACTAGACCCACGAGTTGGTTAAAAAACATATGGGCCAAGATTGCCCAAAACAACCCACCAACTATCTTGAGTAAAATATTTTGGCCCAAAACTATCACTAGACATTTATATAAAATATGAATATAAAGGTTGCTTGCTGCTGTAGCCTCAAAGCTTCAATGGCGCACGACCCAGAAAGGATTCTAAAACACGCCGGATGCCGCCGAAGAACATCACGACCTCGTCGTGAACCTTATAGTTGCACAGTTGCACTCCCACTTTAGCGAAGACCAGCAATCCAAAACCAAAAACAGCATCAGAGCCACGAGCAGCTCTCTGCCCTTTATTTCATCCGTACCGGCGACAACCAAGCTGTATCGGACCGTATCGCCCAATGTATCGGTTTCAGGCCGTTACGTACCGGGACTCGGACGTTACGGCCGTGAAATTCATTCTCGCCGGTATACCGGTGAGTATCCGACTCGGCCCTCCCATTTTTCGGTACGAACCGATATTTAGAACCTTGACTACCACCCCAATATGCCAAATCCATTGAATAACTTTCCTTTTTGTGAGATCAAGTTTCTTTTCTGGGTCCACAACGTTCATTCTACCTCCCACATGCTATTAGAGAAAATTTGGAGTCTTGAAACGCATCCTTCAACCATGTCCTAGTGCCACGAATGCAACACACTTTGTCCTTTTTCGAATACACTAGTAACGTATGTATATTTTTTTTTTTAGGTAATAAGGAAAGTTAGTAACGTATGTATATATATAGTAGTAGTTTAAAAAGACCTGGGCAAGGTATAGGTAATTATTATAATATGTTTAAGTTTCATATTTTGATAATTTTTTAAAAATTAGAATATTATTTTATAAAAATGTATATGATAAATCATTAAATATATGATAAAACTATGTAATATATCATTTTTTGATTTGTTATATATCTAATGATATAGACTCTAATTCTATTACTATATCATTTTAAGTAAATTTATGAGTCTTTAATATTTCTTCCGAATTTATAAAAAAGAAATTATGGTTGTACCTTTTCTCAACAGATAAATATAAAATAAATACTAAGATAATTCACTGAACTAATAAAGAAATAAAAGAAAATACATACAAATGATTAATTTTATTAATACATAAATCATACTCGCGTAATAAATAATCAATTTTATTATTAAGCAAATCATTAAATAATTAACAATTTATAAGGATATGAAAAATATTATTCAGTTAACCATTTTGTTATATAAATAAATCATTAAGTCAATTAATAGTTTTTAATGATATGAGAAATATTTTTCAATAAATAATTTTGATAATTTATTATTGTATGGGAGAATATAACAAACGATAGTTGTAATTTCTAATATTATAGAACCAATTCATATTTTAAACAAACTTTATGGGTGTATTTGTAATTTGTTAAAAAAATATGTTTCATAATTGACCAAAAATATTTGTGTAATTACAAAAAAACCTGTTTCATAATTGACCAAGAATGTTTGCATAATTACGGAAAAACCTGTTACATAATTGACCAAGAATGTTTGCGTAATTATGAAGAAAAAAAAATAATTAATTAATTAAAAAATTCACTCAACATATAGGCCACTATTAGTAAATTATTCAAAATAAATGGGCGAAATCGAAAAGAAAAGACAAACCTCAAGTACCTAGTTTGGAAAGGCCTGTGCAAGACACGAGCTATTATTACAGCATATTTAAATTTTATATTTTGATAAAAAAAAAATTACATTGGAATATTATTTTATGAAATTGAATAGAATAAATCATTAGATATATGATAGAATCTGTTTCATTCGATCATTCAGGTGGTCGTCCGGTCGGTCGACCTGTGAACACAAATTCGAGCTATTCGAGGCAACTCAATTTGAGGCACCAAGGATTTCCCTATATATATTGATTTGTTATACACCTAATAATGTATTCCTTCCGAATTTGTAAAATAAAAAATTATGGTGTGTAGTTTTTCTCAACAGACAAATATAAAACAAATACTAAGATAATTTTCACATCTAAAAAAAATTACTATGATAATTCACTGAACTAATAAAAAATCAGAAGAATATATATATATATACAAATGACTAATTTTATTAATACATAAATTACACTCGCATAAAAATGACCATTTTTATTAATAAGTAAATCATTAAGTAAATTAACAATTTTTAATGATATGAAAAGTATTTTCCGGTAAACCATTTTGTTAATAAATAAATAATTAACTCAAAACGGTTTTTTATGATATGAGAAATATTTTTCAATAAATAATTTTGATAATTTATTATTACATAGGAGAATAGTTTTCTTTTTTTTTCCTTGAGTATTGTGTTAATTAAAATTTATAACAAACGATAGTTATAATTTCTAGTATTACAGGAACGATTCACATTTTAAACAAATCTTATAGGTGTATCTGTAATTTGTTAAAAAAATAAAAATATTAATGTTTCATAATTGACTATGAATGTCTGCGTAATTACGAAAAACCTTGTTTGATAATTGACTAAGAATGTTTACGTAATTACGAAAAAGCTTGCTGCATAATTGACCAAGAATATTTGCATAATTATGAAAAAATCTCCGTTCAACATATAGGCCACCATTAGTAAATTATTTAAAATGAAAGGATAAAATCGAAAAGAAAATACGAACCTCAAGAAGCCTTTATAACAAACGGTAGTTGAAATTTCTAATATTATAGAACAAATTCATATTTTAAACAAACCGTATGAGTCAATTTGTAATTTGTTAAAAAATAAAAAAAAATTATGTTTCATAATTGAAAAAGAATGTTTGCGTAAGAATGTTTATGTTTCATAATAAACGATTTATGTTTCATAATTACGAAAAAACATGTTTCATAATTGACCAAGAATATTTGTGTAATTATGAAAAAAACACTATATCATAATTGACCAATAATATTTGCGTAATTACGAAAAAAATCTTCACTCAACATATAACCCACCGTTAATAAATTATTCAAAATGAAAGGGCAAAATCAAAAACAAAAAAAACAAACAAACAAACAAACTTCAAGCAGTTAAACGGTTCTATATATATATACTAGTTGAAAAAGGCCTATGCAAGGCACGGACTATTATTACAATATGTTTAAGTTTTGTATTTTGATAATTTTTTAAAAATTAAAATATTATTATATGAAATTGAATAAAATAAATCATTAGATATATGATATAATTATGTCGTACGGTATGTATCATTTTTTGATTTGTTATACACCCAATAATATAGATTTTGGGTGAATTTATGAGTCTTTAACATTTCTTCGGAATACATTTTTAAAAAATTATGATATGTAACTTTTCTCAACAAATAAATATAAAACAAATACGAAGATAATTCTCTCATCTAAAAAAAAATTACTAAGATAATTCACTGAACTAATAAAGAAACAGAATAAAATACATATACATATATATATATATATACACAAATGACTAATTTTATTAATATATAAATCATACTTGTGTAGTAAATGATCAATTTTATTATTAAGTAAATCATTAAGTCTTCATTTGACATTAGCTTTTTTAGTTGACATTTTTGAGTTGGAACTTTTTTAGCTTGAGATTAAAAAGTTCGTTTGGTTTGGCTTTTTTGACTTTTATGAGGGAAAAAATAAAATGTGACATTTTGTCTTATTAGTTTATTTAGTATATTTTGTCTTTTGTGTTTTTTTAACCCAACTAAGTTAGCCAAACGAAGGCTAAGTAAATTAACAATGTTTATTGAGATGAAAAATATTTTTCAGTTAACCATTCTGTTAATAAGTAAATCATTAAATCAATTAACAATTTTTAATAATATAATAAATATTTTTCAATAAACAATTTTGATAATTTATTATTGCATAGGAGAATAAATTTTTTTCCCTTGAGTATTGTGTTAAATTAAAAT